CCTATAAGGGAGACTAATCACTTCTGATCCTGAAAGTGACACAAGTGTTTTCCATTTTAAAATTAGCTGCTGAAACATGCAAAACAGTTGCTTTTCCTTGCATTTTGGTCTCAGCCATCAGTGCCTTATCTTAGTATTCAGATTTTCAAAATGTTGTGTCCTTAGCATTATCAGACCTATCCGGCATTTGTATTGATTTCTCAAAATAGTTTTTTTGTGGACTGCATCAAAAATAGGCCCACTACCTCATTCTTACTTCTCTACTCTGTATTTTGAGATAATTCTATACATGAGAATAGAAATCCAGTCTGTGCTTCTTTTTCATGTCACCAGTTTCCCCCCAGATCTTCCTTTGCTTTTACTTTCAATCATGCCGGTGGGTTTGGCTTGAAGGAGCTGTGGAAACTCTCTCTCTCTCTCTCTCTCTTCAACTAGTTGAGACTTTCTTTCCCAGAAACGAACAAGTTTGCCTCTTGTTTCCACCATAGCAGCTCCAGGCTGAACACTCCAGTGGCTTAAACCACATAAAAAGCCTTGCCTCTTCCTTTGCAAAGTGAACTGCAGCATAAACATCAAAGGAACACTTGCCTATGCACCTGTTTACAGAAGGCCTATAGATTCCTACTATATCTGAAACAGCTTCACATATGTTTCTGCCATCAGATCCTTCCTGAAAAACTACTTTTTTCCTGGATTTTAAAAAAACTGGATATTCCCTAATATCCCTTGTCTTTCTGCTTTCCCTAATGAGCTCCTGACATCTCATCTGCCCCCCTCCCCCTCATTCTTATCTTCTCTCCCATTTTTAACCCATTGATGTGGAAATCGAGACTAGAAAATCATGAAAATCCCTTCCCTTCCTGTAATTATAGTTTTGACATTACAGAGGGTTTCCCAAGGCTAAACACAGCTGCCTGCACTCATCTCTTGTAAAAACAGAACACATCTTTGACACTGTTCTGTGACAACTGAGAAATATCCTAGCAGGTTTCTCTTTTACGTATATGACAGCACAGCTACATCAGTTTAATTGACCTTAGCAATCTGCATCTGTGTGTGGTATGTCCCCAAGGGATACTAAATAAATAAATAAATCCCCTCTCTCACGGAGAGAGCGGAAAAAGCCTAGATGGCAGAATATAGTATTTACCTCTGTAAAATTTTCCATTTTGACGTTGGGTATCAAAATGCTAAAATAATAGTTTCATCTGCTGCCCCCTAATATCAAGAAGCTAGTTTTAGGAATACAGTGCATGATTCTGAGCTTGTAACTGTGGAATAGTAAATGATGTTATTTTGAATTAAAGAACAAAGATTACATAATTCATGAGAAGCAAAATGCAGGCCCTTATTTTATTGTTGAGTCCCGTTGCTTCCTGATTCTATTTCTTATCCCTTGTTATTATTTATTTGCTTTTTATGCATGTGCCCTACACATTGTCCAAGAAGGTCATTGGCTCCTACCCATTCCCCCATTTTATCCTCATGACTTTCCTGTGAATTATTGGCTGATCCAAGGTCACCCAAGAGGCTAGAATGTGGAGAGGGGATTTAAAACCAATATCCCAGTCTAATCTGAATACTTTGTTGACTGTGTTGCAACATTAAGGCATAGGAATGTGAAATATTGCCAGTGACAGTTACACAAATATGGCCCAATCCAAGTTTCTCATTGGGTTGCAAGATCTTTCCCATTCCGCCTGGAATGGTGTACATATTTTGGAATACACTAATCCTACCGCACATGTTTTGATGCTTTTCCCTAAGGTACATGTTTTATATAAATCATTGACTAAGGTGTGTTTGTGCATGTTTTACCCATTTTTGGTCATGTATCTATTATTTTCATATAAATTTAAAGAAAAAGAAATAATCCAACACTTGTGGTTTCGTTCTGTTGACAAGCAAACAAAATATGTATGTACACTTTTATCAGTTGGATCTAAAACTAAGAAGAGAATAAATTCATTTAATATTTTTTGTTAGATAAAAATATAATTTCTAGATTTAGTTTAGCTCTAATCTCACTTAAAAATGTGCTTGTTTCTATACATTAAAACTACCAAACTGCCATTGGGTCCTTCACAAAGCAGTTCTAATAAGCAGTGTTTTCCCAAACAGTAGATAAATTTAATTCTGAGCTGTAGTAGTTCAGAATGAAAGTTATTTGTTTGTTTGTTTATTTATTTATTTATTTATTTAACTAATATGCCGCCCACCCTACCCAAAGGTCTCTGGGCAGCTTACAACAATTAAAATACAATAAAAAAGATAAATAATTAAAATACAATTAAAATATATACTGTAACAATTGCCATCAGGAACTACAGTTGATATTATTTCAATTTAAAGCCTTCTGGAACAGGAAGGTTTTGACCTGGCGCCAAAATGTCATCAGTGTTGGTGCCACACAAATCTCAATTGGTATTGGGTTCCATAGTCTGTGGGCAGCTGCCGAAAAGGCCCTTTGTCTACAAGCCATCCCTCTTACCTCCTTGAGGGACGGCTCTTTCAAAAGGGCCACCCCGGCTAGATCTTAATTGCTGGGTAGGTTCGTATAGAAGGAGGAGGTCCTTCAGGTATCCCGGGCCCAAGCCGTTTAGGGCTTTATATGTCAAAACAAGCACTTTGAATTGGGCCTGGGCAGCAACTGGTAGCCAATGTAATTTAAACAGAATCGACTTGATGTGTCCCCAAGCTGCCCCACCACTCACCAGCTGCACAGCTCGATTTTGGACCACTTGCAGTCTTCAAAAGGCAGCCCCATGTGGAGCACATTGCAGTAATCTATACGAGATGCTACCAGTGTGTGTGTAATTGTCATGAGACTCCGGTCGTCCAGGTAGGGCCATAGCTGGTATACTGTAATTTCAGCAGCTGAAGGAAGGCACCCCTGGCCACCGAGTCCACGTGGGCTTCTAGAGTTAGACTGGGGTCCAGGAGCATCCCGGGCTGCGGACCCTGTCCCTTAGGGGGAGTGTAACCCCATTCAGGGCAGGGAAATGGCCCTCCAGGCAGTCCGGCGAAGCACCCACTAACAGCTCTTCCCTCTTGTCTGGATTGAGTTTCAATTTATTAATCCTCATCCAGTTCATTATCAGGTCCAGACACGAATTCAGCACAGAAACCGCCTCACCTGGATTGGTGGAAAACGAGAGGTAGAGCTTAGTGTCATCAGCATATTGCTGACTCCTCAGCCCAAACCTCCTGATGACCTCTCCCAGCGGCTTCATGTAGATGTTAAACAGCATGGGGGACAATATCAAGCCCTGAGGAACTCCACGAGTTAAATGCCATGGGCCAGAGCAACTGTCTCCCAGCACCACCCTCTGGACTCGGTCATCCAGGAAGGAGTGGAGCCACTGTATAGTGGTGCCCCCAACTCCCAACCCAGCCAGCCTGTCCAGAAGGACACTATGGTTGATGGTGTCAAAAGCCCCTGAGAGGTCCAGGAGTATCAACAAGGTCACACTCCCCCTGTCTCTCTCTCAGCAAAGGTCATCGTACAGGGCGACCAAGGCAGTCTCCATACCAAAACCTGGCCTGAAACCCAATTGAAATGGATCCAGAAAATCTGTTTCATCCAGCAGCACCTGAATTTGCCTGGCCACAAGCCGCTCCAACACTTTGCCCAAATCAGGGAGGTTCGCCACTGGTCAGTAATTAACCACCAGCCTTGGGTCCAGGTTAGGCTTTTTAAGGAGTGGCTGAATTACCACCTCTCTCAATGTGGCAGGGACCACTCCCTCTCTCAAAGAGGTGTTCACGGCCTCCTGGACCCAGGTGCGAACCCCCCTGGCAGATCTTCCAATTAGCCAAGATGGGCAAGGGTCTAGCAGAGTAGTAATGAAAGGTTCTCTGCACAAAACTGACATTCTTTGCACTTAGAAAGGAAGCAAGGGTTCTGAGCTAGTTTTTGTTTTTCTGACATGCTTATGTAATAAGTTCAGGGGATGTTTTTATACAGAACAGTATAAACAGAACAGAATTATGTCATTCCCTCACTTCCAGTCTGAGAGACTTGGCACCTTTTATGCCATTCAGTCTATATGACATCTTCAAGAGGACCAATCACAGTGATTGCTCTGGTTGCTATTAAAATGCACAGATGTTTGGGAAAGAAAAGATGAACAGGTTTTATAAGAAAATATTTCAAGAACTGGGACAAAGGAGAGAGATCTAACCCAGGAATTATAAGGAACACATTTGCTGCTATTTGTAACTTTTTGAAAGCAACATTCTCAAAAAGGTAGTAAGGCAGCACAAGAGATACCACTTGAGTCATGAGCTGTTTGTCCTTCACTATTTTGTGAAGCCATGCTTCACTGCATAGAAATTTATAAAATCAGGGATTTGTATTACCTTTCTTGGATCACTAAAACAAATTAAAGGAGGAAAAAGTAAAATTTCTTCTCTGTACCCCAGTTTCTGCAGTGTTCAGCCTAATGAAGGTCCTAGAAAACAAAAACACTCCATTTTTAAATGGTATTTTAATAGTCTAGTGATAATGTTCCCTAACATTGATCTTGAATTTTGTTTGTGATACTCATTTTTTCTCTCTCCTTTGATATTTTGACATATTCCCATTGGCACAGCTTCCCTGAATGCTAATGGCACCCAAGTTCATACCATTTTCTTTTTCTTTGACTACCCTAGAGGTGTCATTTACAGGAGGAGTTCATGAGAAGTTTTCCTTAGTACTGAAATGGCAGTACTCTATGGGTTGGGGACAAAGTTTTCCTTAGCAGCTGCAATATTGAAATGGCAGTACTCTATGGGTTGGGGACTGTCAGCAAGCCTTAGTGACCACTAAATGATGCTCAATGCACCAAACCTTTGCAGTCCTGTTATGTACCTACCATTCCCATATTGTACAAATGTCTGTCCGCTGAGGTTTCACTGCTGTGCATCGAAGAAGTAGGCTCAGTCCACAGAAAGGTGTATAAAATAAAATCTGCTTTGCTTGTACTTTCATCCCTGTTTCTTTTCTTTTCATGCAGTAAAAGAAGCTCTGTGCCCACTCAAGTTGAACAAGTGGGGCCTCCCTGAAACTGATCCAGAGACCATGCAAACAAATGTGCCATGGATTTTTGCAGGAGGAGATTTTACCGGCCTGGCCAACACTACTGTGGAATCGGTGAATGATGGGAAACAGGCTTCCTGGTATATGCACAAATATATACAAGTGAGTTTTCAGTGGAATCTTTTTTCTAGTTCCATCTTGATTTTACTGGCCATGAATGTGTTTCCTCCTCATTCCCAATCTTATCGGACTGTCTATAATCAAAGAACAATTGAGGTGTAATGGGATACTGAGATCATAGAGACAGATTAGTTGCAAGCCTGACAGCAGGATTTTTAACGGGAAAGGTCAGATAATTAAAAACTGTGAGAGCATAAAGGTGTTCTTAAGTTCAAAGTAGATGTTGTTGATGTGTGTGCATCTGTCTATCCTTGGTAGTTGTTATAGTTGTTTAATGTGGGTTTTTTTCTTTTTGTTAACCAATAAGAATTACTTTTGCTCATCAATTCCAATTTCTACCCAAAGGGGATACAACTTAATGCATAATACACTGCATAATACACTTTACTCAGGTAATTGGAAGAAAACACCTCATAAATATTAAAAGAGCACAGCATCGAACAGCATGAAAAATCTTTCTTTTTTTGAAAGAATAGTTTTAGCATTGTCACCTGGGGCAGAAATTATTATGTATAAGGTGTGATCACACACCAGCACTTTCAAAAATACATACACATACAAAACATGGGCACCTGTGCAAAGAAAGCCGCCCGCCTGCCAGATGAATCTGACAGTCGCACAAGAGACCCCAGGAGTAATGCAAGATTGTCTTTGCTCATGGACAGAAATGTATACAAATAAAAATTGTATAAGGGACATGCTCAAGCAGGGGAAGGAGCAATTCTTGTGACTGGCACAGAGAGGCTTGTATGTCTTTTGCTGTGTTTCTTCAGCTGCTTCGAATCGGCTTTCCTTGGTTGGCAAACAAACGCAAGACAGGTATAGCCCTGAGTCAATCATAAAAAGAAGTCCATTAAAGCAAAAGGGGGGGGGAAAAAAAGAAAGGATGGTCTTGTTTTCTAAACTATCGTAATGAACAAAAGAATGCTAAGGAAAGAAAGAACTATCTAGTTTTCTTGCCCATTTGAATATTTGGAGAGGAAATGAATGTGCTTATATCTCTCCATGGAGGACTGTTCTGAAAATTCCCTGTCTGAGAATTTAATTTTTTTACTAGTTGAGTTGAAAAACATCCATGTTTGAATATAAAATGTCAGCGAAGAAGGTTTTGAGTTTTGTAAAGGATGTGAAGAATGCTCACTAAAGCCTTCATTCTCAACAATTTGTCTTGGTTTGATACAAAAATACAGCTTGATGAGGAATGTTCAACCTCACAAGACTGACCACTTCCAACATGAGAATCAGACAGTGATTCCTCTTTTCAGCCATTTTCTCCTTTTGTAGAAAATATTTCTCTGCAAACCCCATGTGTTTTTCCTTTGCGAAGCTGAGCACACAACACACACACACACACACACACACCGAGCACAGGCAGGCTGACTGAGATTGATGTTAAAAGATGCAAACCATTTGTTTGATACTTTTGATTTTTAAAAGCCCATGCAATGAGGCAGCAGTAATAACAGATGTGCAGGATTTATGCCATTTGCATAAAAATCATTCTCACCAGTGCAGAAACTCTCATTGAGACTGATAGAAAATACCTTGGCCGTTTACAAATGGAAATATTTGTGTGGTTTCTTCTTTATGTTTGTACAAATAAGACAGGCAAGAGTTTATATTCCTATTGACTGGATAGCTAAGTAAATGAGAGGGAGTTCAATTCCTTCTTCATTTGTGTGGTTTCTTCTTTTTGTGTGTACAAATAAGACAGGCAAGAGTGTATATTCCTATTGGCTGGATAGCTAAGTACAGTAAATGAGAGGGAGTTCAATTCCTTCTTGTCCCTTGTAGGAGAAGAGCCAGCCTATGTGGCTGTGGGCAAGCTACACAGTCCCAGAGTATCCCCAGAAGAAGAGACTGATAAACTATAACAAAGCCTGGTTCAGCAAAACCAAAGAAGAGCTTTGTGGTCCCTCTACTAGCTTTTAAGGTTATTTCTCTTTTAAAAATATGTTTCTAAGAAAACAGAGGTGCAGTGTAAGGGGATTTTATCTAGTTAAAATGGAGGGGGGGTTACATGGAAAGTTGAGTAGAGTTTTTGTGGGGGATGCAAATGGGGGGGAACTCTTAGTTATGGAAGTGACAAGAGTGATCAAAAGGGAATGAGCTAGTATAAATTTGAAGTTACATGGAAAGTTGAGAAAGAGTTCCATAACTCTTAGTTATGGAAGTGACAAGGGTGATGAAAAGGGAATGAGCTAGTATAAATTTGAAGGGTTCAAGGTGACTCAGGGAGGTGGCCACATGGACAATAGAAAGAGAAAGGAAGGGTCCGTGGCATCTTGCAACCCTTTGGTGCCAAAAAGCCTGTCTTTATATTATCCAAATATTCCTACATACTACTTGCCAAACCAGACCAAAAGCTAAACAGGATCAAAAGGAGAGAAATGCAGCACTTTCAGTGAAATCTGGCTACAACCACTTTTGCTTTGTTCTCCCTTTGGGGGAATCAAGTCAGTTTTTCTGACCTCTAACAAGCCTACAAAAATATCTGGTCATTTGGGTGGCAAGTTCCATTGACTCCTTGTGTTTTTATTTCAACCGGAATTCTAGAGAATATGGATTCCTGATTTTCAAGAGAGGAACAGTATTGAATCCTTTGGTATAGAAAGATGGAAGGAAGGTGCTTATTTCCTTTGCATAGTTCAGATTCTATGGGGAGGGGAGATGAAATCCTATTTTTATTCAGCGAAGGTTTTAAAAAGAGAAGCTGCTTTAGAGGTTTCAGCAAGATGATGCAGCTTTCATTGTCACTCATAAGACAATTTGCAGCATCTGGACGATAATATTCAGATTTCTGCACCAGCTCTAGCTCTTCTCATTTCAGTGTGGATTGCACAAGTATTTGAAGTAAAATACTTGTGCAGAATTACACTGAATTGTCTATATACCATTGGTCTCTCTATAAGACATTTTAAAAGAATCTTTTCTAAGAGCTGGTATCTACAGTATTTTAATCCAGGGACTTCAGAGGAAAGTAAATTTTAAAAAGATGAAAAATAGGTGGCATGAATGCTTTATATTATAGAAAGGAACATTACTTTATATACAATGGAGTTTGCCTCAGATTGTAAGTTTCTGGAAAAAAAAGAGCAAATTGTAGGAAGTTGCCTGTCAGTAGATCCAATGATATTTCTGTTGTGTCCAACTGAAATTAAAGGAAATTATTTAGGAGAGGAAAAGAGCCATTGATATTGCAAGAACATTTGCTGTTTGATGTTTTATTATAAGTGTTGACAAAAGGTAAGATCTTCTAACATGAGGAACATGACAATAATTGCAATGGAGCAGGTGCCAATGTAAACAGAACATCCATAATTATATACTAATCATAGAGCACTACTTATTTCCTTCTTGTTTATGTTTGGTAATTGTGATTCTAAGATATTTTAGATTATCTCTATGCATTTCTTCAAAACTGTCATTAATGTGGGACTGATATAGGCAAAGGAATATATAAATGAGTAGCAGATCAGTGATACAGCTATGAGTTCAGTAGGAGCCAGGCGATACAATTGACCAGTCATTGTCAATTTTCTTTTGGCCACAGCCATGAAATACAATATGAAAGAAATATAGGCTGATTCAGGACTGTATAAGTCACATATCAAACCTTATAAGGTGTATGCCCCCTACAAATGTGCCAGGAACCACCACTGAGAATGGCTGAAATAGACCATGATTGTTTCACCAGATTCTTTGAAACATCTGGCTTTCCCTCAGGTTTGCAGTTCCAACAACTTGCCATTGAATTTCATGCTCTGAATGCGTGCCCATTCATACTTCCTTGACTACCTGACAGATTTCCCAGTCTTTGACCAGTACAAAATTGGTCCTTCTAGGTGCTTGCCCCCCAGCTTTGGAATAATCTCCCACCTAAAATTCACCTGGCCACTTCACTGGGAACTTTTAAACTACTGCTAAAAACATGAATTTTTTAAAAACAAGGCTCTCTGGGCCATATAACATCTTAATAGAGTGGTTGTTTTAATGTTTATTTTATCAGTTCCTCCACCTTGCCTCCATTTCATTTTAATTGTTTTTGGTTAAATTTGCTTGTGTGTATCTGTTTAATTTTGATCCTATGATTATTATATTTTTTTGTTTTAAATTTTTTTTGATGTTGTATTTAATGTGTAAACTGCCCAGAGTGGCCTTGGTAGCCAGATGGGTGGTATAGAAGCCAATTAAGCAAACAAACAAACAAATAAATAAATACGGTACAGGGAAAGAAATTCAGCAATCTTGATGGATTTTTTAAAAAAATGTCCTGGACTCACTACTGGGGAGGAAAAAAAATTGTTCACCTTAAGAACTTGATCATTTACAAGGATTTCAGAGCATCTGGGAGAAAGAAAGGGAAAGAAATTCAGCAATCTTGATGGAATTTTTTTTAAATATCCTGGACTCACTACTGGGGAGAAAAAAAAGTTGTTCACCTTAAGAACTTGATCATTTATAAGGATTTCAGAGCATCTGGGAGAAAGAAAATTCATGCAAAACAGTGCTCACATTTTAATGTGTGAAAGGCTAAAGCTAATAATTTCATAACTTCAATGCTAGCAGTGAAGAAGTTGAAATTGTTAAAGGTTTACTATACCTTGATTCAGTTATCAGTCAAAATTGAGACTGCAGTTGTGAAGTTAGAAGAAGGCTGAATTTTGGAAGAGTAGGTAGGAAGGAACAAAGAAAAATCCTCAATATTAGGGCGTCACTGGAGACCAAAGTCAAAATCATCCAAATGATGGTGTTCTTCATTACAGTGCGTGGAGGTGAAAGCTGGGTGGGGGAAAAATCAGTTCATTCAAAATATAGTATTGGAGGAAAGATTTTTGGGTACCGTAGGCCAGGAAGGCAGGTAAATGGGTGTTGCATCAAATCAAGCCTTGAACTCTTTCTAGAAGTAGAAATGAGGCTATTGTATTTTGGTCATATCACAAGAAGACAAGACTCCCAGGAAAAGCCAATAAAGCTGGGAA